CTTGGAAAACTTATTCTGCTCATCAGTCTCAGTTCCAGCTTCTTCAGGTGCATTGTAGGAATGTAGAACTCCCTTGCAACTGATTTTCATCTAATAATTTTATTTTCTTACCCTAAAGGTACATGGTATCATCACATATTGTTATAGATAAAGGCTGCATTATTCTGCAAAGGTTCTGCATGTGTGTTTGTACTGTATAAAACTGGACTACAATTTAATTAAATGAATCCGGTTTACCAGTGCCAACTTTCTCTGTATAAGAATGTTGGGGAATCAAACTCACTTTTTTTGAGGAGGTTAGTAGAATGCGTATCTTTTTTTATATTTGTTCCACAGACAGCTTTCTCTCCACCTGACAGCTTACATTTAAGAGTGGGAATGCAACAGCTTTTGTACATCTCTTCAATTCACAGTGCAGGGTGCATTGCTGGAGCTGCAAGGAGAGGAACTGATTTGTTATAAGTGTATCTAGATGCTGCTAGGAGCTTTGAAGACCTTAGCAATATGCTCTTCATAAGTTTCTTGCAGTGTGGAGGAGAAATATGTTGCCTCATCTCATGCATAGCAAGTAAAACCCACTAAAAAAGTAATATTTGTGAAATCTGGATAGAAAAAAAGGAAATTGAACACAGAAAAAAAACTCTGTGGCCCTGCTATTTCATGATGGTATATGACAGCCCTCCTTGATGTCTGGCCTGTGAGGACCAGGTAAATGCAACCTGTGACCTGTGATTGGAAAGATGAAGAAAAAGGATAAAATCCCAAAACTTATGCCCATAATACCCTATTTTTTTCTACTAGAAAAAAAAGGAGGTATCAGGCCTGAGATGCTGGACCCATGGATGATGGGAAACGGAGCTCCCTTGCAGAGTTACTTCTTGCCAGAAGTCAGTTTAAGCTAAGATGGGAGAGGTCCAAGACTTGATTTTACAGCTAAACCAGGAAAATCCAATTAGATGATATTTTAATATACTGGTGTCAGTAAAAGTATTCAAGATGGAATTCAAGGCCTTTTTTTTTTTTGGTCATATCACCTTAACTAGCAAAAATATTGTTCTCAGTTACACAGCAACTATGAAAACAGAATAGATATAAAATGGAAGATCTGAGGTAAAATTAAAGAATTAGACCAAAAGTGTTAGTTATTAAGATTGTTTTTAATAAAAGTTGCCACCCCCCAAACCAAAAACCAAACCCCCAAGACAAGCACACAAACCAAAAAACTCCCCCAAAACCCAAACAGCTTGAAAGAGCTTCCATGTTTCTGTTTGCATCTCGGAAGTGAATGTTCAGACTTGTGTTTGTTCAAATCAGTATGTCCAAGGCAACAAGAGACAAGCCCTTTTAATTCTGTTAGTGTTCTCTAACCAAGTATTGTCGTATTCTAGGTACTCTTGAGATTCCCTTTATTTTCAGTGGAATTTTGTCCTCCCATTAAATTGACTGCCACAATTTCAAAGCTGCTTGGGTCAAAATTTTTTTTCAGATTTGCTACAGAAATGCAAAATTCATTTGTCTTGCAATCCTAGTACCTAGGTTTTTTACCCTAAAAGCTGAGTTCTGCTGCTACCAGTATACAGAAGAGATAAGAAAAACTAAAACCAGCTGTATCTTCTGATTGTCGTATTTCTTATTCTCTGTTCCTTCTGCTACAATGGTTTTCCTCTGGACGCTGAAAAAAATAATCTGAGTTACCATACATGATGCTTCAACATCAAGAGAGTAATTCCCTTTCTCAAAAAGGCCTCCAAAAATACCAGTAAACAAAATAAATAATCATCTCATCTTTATTCATTTTCTTTCTCCCAATTGAATGAACTCTTTTCAGAAACTTTAGCCACTGACCGTCTCCTGTCAGGGTTCACTTACAAAGATGATCTTTCCCTGGGACAAAGATGACAAGGATTTATATGAGCATGTCTCTCTTTTCCTGCATACCTGGGAGTAACACTCTAGGACAACAAACCAAATGATATAATAAAAGAATCAGGCTAGAAAGAGACTTTGCAAGGACTCATGGGAGCCTGTGTTATTCCAACAGACTTTGGGACAGAGAAAAAGAAAAATGGAACTTTTTTCCTTAAAAAAAGAGTATTTTGAAAAATGCTTCTGTATTTAACAGTTTGTAAACTGAAGGCTTAATTCAAAGTTCACTGTACCCTCATACAGCATGTAACTATACATTTCCTTGAGCAGTAAATAAGAGATTTTATTGAACTATGACAATTTTATTGGGACTGAAGTGACAAATATAAATTTTTACCCTTAGATCTTGGATGGATGGCAGAAGAAATTCACAGGTATTACTGTGGATTCAGACACATTTCTTGAATTTCAGAACCCACTAGCTCCATTAGATATCTGCCTTTTGAGAGAGGGGATAAAATTTGCAGTAGAGAAAATTAAAAGTAGTAGCTTTCTGATGGACTAAGACATTGCCTTTTCATAATCAGGATGTGTGCTTTATGTGAGGAATGAGTATGGGTTCATACTGATGGATATGAATATGCAATGATGTATGACAGGTATGAACATGCAGTTGTGTCACACACTAAGAAAACTTTGGACTTTTAAGTGCACTTACTTTTAATGCACTTATTAGTCTTACCTGCCTTATTTTACATGAACTTTGCTGCTATTTCAGCACATCAAAAATTAAGAATTATCTTTAGATGAGTTGCAGTTTCTAATGCTAACTTTGTTAATTTGAGGTTCTGATTGTTGTCCTTAGTTCATGCTCAGGACTTCTCAGTAGGCTTCATCCATGACAACAAAAACTCTTATCCTGTATGTAAAGGCTGCCTGTATCTTGTGTTTTAGACCATGTGTTTCTCAAGGTGGTAAGTTGATAGGATCCGTCACTTTTTCATTTGAAAAATGGAGAAAATTTACTTCCCGTACATAGAAATAACTTGATAAGGCAAATAGATTTTTTTAGTGGTGGTTAGATTTTATCTCTGATATTATTAGGGCTTATTTAAAACAATTTATTTAATGCAAACTCTCCATTTATATGGTAGATTTGAATTAAAATGAGTACATTGACAGTATATGCCTTTTTTGTTGTCTGTGTTACCCATTTCCAGTGTGAGTCTTCCACTATCATTACTATGATATTAGTTTGGGGATAATCCTTGAACTTTTTAGTGATGACTTCCAGTTAAATGACAATTGCACAGAAAATTCTTGCATATAGCACCAGTGAAGAAACAGTAAACAAAAACCACATTGAGCTCACAAGTAAATTCTGTGCTTTCCTGTGGAAAAGACCCCTTCAGCTGTCAGTTCTTTTAATATGATTTTTAAAGTAAGACACAGCTTACAAATATTTCTGCTTTAAATGTGCTATGAATAATAAATTTATTCACAAGCGTCTCAATCTCTAAGCACACACTTTTCCATACACTTAGAAAAAAATCCCAAAACACCGGAAAGCAATGAAACTTTAAAAGAGACTGAAGCGTCAATATCTGCTAGGTTTTCTGGGTATGTAAAGAATACAATACCAACTTAGGAACTTCACAGTCACATTAATTGGATGCAATATGAATGAATGACAAAGGACCTTTAGCTTGGAAGAGTTTATTCAGCTAAGGATCAAGGATGACCTCGAGAAGCCCAGTGATGTGGGCACATCAAAACACATCCTCCTGCCTCAACTCTCCTCCTAGCAGCTCTCGCAGCACCATAGTGATACAGGCTTCCCCTCACCTTGGAAGGAGCGATAATGACTGCCACAGTGCTATTCTCATTCTTGGAGAACTGGGATTTAAAATTGTTTTAAATGGAGGGCTGGCCATGCTTGGCACGAAAGGCCCACAGTTGCTGCAATCTTCAATTGCCCAACCATGGTAGTGGGCTCCCTTGCTGGAGACTCCCTGGCTGATAGGACACTGGGCCATGAGGTCTGCATGCTCATGTGCTCATGCTGGTAGAGTGATTTATTAATTTGCTGTTCTCTGAGCCTGGCTTTTCAGCCACTTCATTCACCTCTAGCTTCAGCTCATTTATATTCTCAATTCCCCAATTACACCAAAGGGGAATAAGATGGACCCAAACTGAAAGAACCAACATGTTTCAGTTGCTGGGCCTTATCCTACATGTGTAGGAGGCTTTTTGAGAGCAGTGGGTGCTCTTCACAGCATTTATCTCTTGGCTGCAACTGTTGCAGCAATAATTGATCATCAACCTGGGGCCACAGCATCCCTGTGCTTTTGCTCGAAGTGGGTACTGCCAACAATACTGACATCGGCTCACACTATCACATTGCTAATCCTGCGGTCTTTCCAAGTCAGATTTCCTTCTAGTTGAGAAAAGCTCTTGCATGCATATAACAGCTTTCTATGCCTGGTGGAAAAATCCACCAGACATTAAGCCCCTTCATCCTCTTTCCCACTTCCAAAGCCCTGTTCCTCTGGTTTACCTGCTGCCCTGCCCTATCATTTCATTTTCTGGAACACGTCACACACAGCTTAGGTCTTACAGCCTCCGTGCAACCCCCCACGCATTCCCCATAAAGCCCATAGCGTCTGGCCCCCAGACTATCCTCCAGGGAACCTGCAGCCCCTCGAGTTTCTAAACACTCCTCCTTCAGAGCTGGTGCAGCACCGCAGCTCCCCCCGGTCCCGTTACACATAGACACAAAATCCCCCCGCCTCCCCTACCGCAAACACCTCCGGTCTCCAGCGCACCCCCCCGTTCCCTCATCCCCTCCAGCGCCTATGCAGCCCGCCTCCCTTCGAAGCCTCCCCCTCGGCACCTTCCAGCCCCTACAGGGCCACCCCATCAAGTCCCTCCACCGCCTGCCAGACCCTCGGCTACCCTCGGCCCTACACGGCCGTGTCCCCCCGCACCCCCCGCGTCCCTCGGAGCAGGCGCGGCTCGGCGGGGCCAGCCCGGCCCGCGGGAAGGGTTAACGGCGGGCACATGACAGCGGGGCACGGGCGGCCGCGCTCGGCGGGGTGGGCGGGAGGTGAGTGCCCGGAGCCCCGCGGCGGCGCCGACGGCACGGCACGGCACGGCCCCTCCGCTGCCCCGCTCGCCGGAGCTGGTCCCAGCCCCGCGCCGCCGGGGAGAGGGTGAGTCGGCGGCTCACGGCCTCCGTGTCAGCGCGGGGAGGGCGGAGGAGAAGGGAAAGCAAAACAAACGCTGTTGTGGTGCCGTCAGTTCGCGGTTACTCACCTCGCCGGCCGGTCCGCCGCCGAGATGGGGACGCAGCTCTGTCTGGAAGGACGGGACAGACACACGCCCGGGAGATTTGTCATCCTACTGGTGAATAAGCGGAGATAGGTACCCGCGGAGGCAGGCTGCGGAGCGGCGCGGGCGGGAAGCCGGGAGCGGCCGGGGGCGCCGTCCGCAGTGATGTGCATCCCGCGGAGCTGCCGCGCGGAGGCTCGTGGCTCTGATGCCGGGCAGTGTCCCGCCCGGGGCTTCCTCGCATCCAGGGACTGTCCCCGTCCGCAAGAGACCAGACGTGTCGTGCTTGGTGAGGTTGACAGCTCTCATCATCTGCCGGCCTGTATGTTGCTAGCAACTCCAGCCACTTAAACTTAGAAGATTCGAAATTCATGGCTTATAGCTGTGCTCTCCTCCCTTGTTCGCTTTTGGTCCCCTTGAAGCTGCTCATGCTTTGCTGCGAGATCTGTGGGGTGAGCCGTGCTAGTGGTAAGGGTGGCGGTAGTTGTCCCCCGGGCCATCAAGCGGACAGAGTATCTGGCTTCCTGCGCTGCCCCACGAGGGGTGCTCTTAGCGGAGGAACCAAGGCAGGACAGATGTCCATGGCCCCATACCTCTGCCTCCGCATTGCCGTCGGCTCACACGGGGACATTGTTGGTGGTTTCCTGCGTCCTGCATGGACTGAAGATTTCACCATTGCTGACACTGCAGTATTAGCAATTGTGCCTGTGCTCCTGGAAAGTTCAAAGCCATTATAGGCAAAGTGAACAAGGCAGCATTGGGAGTAAAAGATGCACGAATCAGGGCTTGCAGTAACCTTTGTTTGCTAGGTGAGGATGCTGCAGCTACTGATGGCACGTCAGAAAGCCTGCCTCAGACTCAGGTGCTCAGTGTTACCTTATTTGTCTTGGGTTTTTCAAGCACCTTGTCTGAGGGCTGTAGGTAGCCCTGCTGAGAATCACTTTGCTTGCGGAAAGCTCATGTTGTGTTTTTGGAGCAACCACTAGCAGTAGCACTGCTCTGATATTAAAGGTCCTAGTAGAGAGGAAAGTGTAGGTGATCTTAATTAACATAATAAACTTGAGAAGGTTTCTTGGGCAGACTGGCAAAAATGGTAACTACACTAGGATATACATCATCCTGTCCACTGATAACGGCTGCTCTTTTGGTGGCAGTTGCAGCAGTATCAATGACTGTGCTCTGCTCTGTGTTTGTACAGTCCCTTGCACAAAGGCATTCCTTTCTGTGACTAATCTTCCTAGGAATTATAGTGATGCAAGTGATAAGTAATTAGTAGATTTCATTTTACTAGCTCTGAGAAACTCAATCATATTTGGGGACTGGTTTCCTTGAGTGCTGTGGAAGATCTTTAGCTGTCATTTGACTTGCTTGTTCAGGCAGTATCAAGAGACATTCTGATGATGCGTGAGAACTAAAAACTTTCAGATTGCGTGACCTTTTCTAGCTTTCCTTGGCTGATGACCTGGGCCATAGAAAAATGTGATATTTTCAGAGTACTGCAGTTTGGAATGAAGACCCCTGTGGTACTTCAAGAATACTGCTGTCAGGAAATAGATACAAATTACCAAAAGAGTGGTGCTATAATGATGTATTCACGATTCTCAGTAGCATGTGAGTTCTGAGATGCTGGCAGACATGGAGGGTGGGGAATGTATTCTATATAAATTGAGAGAAAAGCTTATTTTTTAGGCCCAGTTTTGAAAGCACATTGTCTTCCTTTATTGCAGTTGGGATTCTTAATGTACCTATTGTTCCGAGCCTAATTTCAAACTCTCAGTTGTTATTTGTTGCCTAGTTAAATCTCTGTGTGGTTTTCCTTTTCAAGAAGAATTTATTACCATGCTCTGTTCTACAAACTAGAGCCAGATAACTGCAAAAAAACTTGTAACACTTCCAATGCGTGTGTGCTCTATTTAGAAAATGCATGGTGGTTTACACCTATAGTGTATGTCTTTCTCACAAGCAATTGTGAGACACAAAAACCTCAGGAGTCAGTGAGGCTGAGGCAAAACATCCCTATAGCTTTTGGTGCCTGTTCCTTCCCCCTCTCTATCACAATCCTGTCCACCCAGACTGTCCCATCAGGGGTGTGATGTCAATACTTCTGAGTATTCCACTGTGGTGCCACTGAGAGATGATGCTCCAAAAACCATGGCCATGCATAGACAGAAGGGCTGATAGGGGAGAATAGAGCTCAAAGGGTAGGTAGACCCTTTGGGTGGCCATGTGGCTACTCTGCCCTGGGAGGAAGTAAACTTTTTTCCTGGAATTTTGCCCAGGAAATTGTTGAGGGGAACATGTTGAGAATCTTGGCTATCCATATTCACGTTTGGGATGAGGGCAGGCACTCACAGTCTTGGAATGTACAGTCGCAGAGGGGGGGGTTATGGTTCATGTTTGATTTCTGTAGTGTCTGGTAGCTGTTGTAGAGGTGAGATGTGTCCAGTAGAAATATAGGAAGGAAAAATAGGATGTTCAGTGCCTTGTCTTTCAGTCTTCTTTGGGATAGTGCTTGCTACTCTATGTGCAAAATACCAGTGTCTGGTAACTACTTCCATGAAAGCATCTCCTGGGCTGGATTTACTATTCCTTATACTGATCTCTGCAGTTGAAATTGCTTTGTTGAAATTAAAAAGTATTTTACCTCTTCTTTCAGTGGGTGAAGCAGTAAGCCAACTCTGATTAAAACTCTCAAAACTGCACTGGAAAAGTAGATGATATAGTGTACTGTGCTACAGACATAGACTTGTGAATTATTCTTTTGTTTCACTTTCTGAAGGATTAATGTTTGGATTTTCCAAGGCTTCAGTTCAGCTGGAATTTAAATTTTACTTTTATGAAAGTGAATTTATGAATCATTGCTGTGGATTTTGAGCACTTATGTTGTCATAATGTTATTGATGCAGAGTCATAGAACTTTGAGTAATGTCAGTTTAGGAAAAAAGAGACTTTAAAAGCAGTGGACATAATTGTTCTTTTGACGTCTGTGGGAGCACAAAAAGGTCACCACAGTGTCTTACTGATGGACAGAAATATTTCATTCAAAGATGGAAAGTGCTTCTGTTCCTTTGATAGAACAAAGTAATTTGTCAGTACAGCCATTCAATTTCAGATTATTAGTATTTCTGGGGTTTTTTTGTTTGTTTGTTGGGGGGATTTTTTGTGTATTTTAACTTAGCACATAAAATTTCAACCCTATTCAGGATTGCAAAGCTTATTTCTAAATAAGCCATTGTATTTTGCGCTGTACTCTCACAATTTCCAAGATCACTTTGATTAGAAGTGTATGGGGTTTTACTATTATGGGTAGCTGTTTATGGATCTGATGCAAAAGGTAGTTAGACTTTTAGAAAATAATTCATGTCCTAATTTAATTAGTTTAATGCACCTCTAGATAATCTGGTGCTTTGGTCTCATACAGTTTGGCCACTAACATGAGAAGGTCCTGATTTCCTGATGGAAATTGATATTAAAATACCACAAAATAATAATTTTTAAAATGAGAAGACTTACGCTCTCCAAGGTGCTTTAACATTTTAAAGAAATAATATATTAATTTGCATGTCAATGCAATGTTATACATTTTCATGGTAGAATATGAATGGAGACTAGGGGAAGAAAATGCAGAAGAATGGCTTAACATGTTTTTACTCTTATAAAAAAAATTTGTTTTGTTTCTGCTTTGCAGGTTAATTGCTTCAAAAAACAGTTTGCTAACATGAGAAAGGAAATTGTGAGTTCAGAGGTCTTTCTTCAAGTGGAGAAACCACAACAGTATCTAATGAGAAAAGATGATAATATTCTATACACTGTATTGATGATAGTACTCTATAGTTGATACAGAATAGATGATAGTATTCTATATACGCCGTCATTCCTTGTAAGATAGATGTTGCTAGATAAGAATAGCAAGGGACACCAGCATTATAACAACACAAGTTGCATATCAACCGCAGTTTTATAAGCCTTGTAGGTCTGTGTAACCTATGTAGAAAAATTATGTTGATTAAACTAAAGGTGCTTTTGTTGAGTAAAACTAATGCATTCAGTATGTTGTAATCTTTTCTTGATTATATTTGTACTTTTCCAATGTAGTTAAAATTGCAGACAAGAACTACAGGGAAGAATGATTTTTATTTGTAGCCAGTTTATAGTGACACAGTATAAACCCTTGCCAGAAAAACATGCCCTTTGGTGGTGTTTTTTTTTTTTTTTTTTTGGGTTTTTTTTTTTGTTTTTTTTTTTTTTTGGGTTTTTTTTTTTGTTTTTTTTTTTTGGTGTGTTCTTTTCTAAAGACTTAGTCACCTGTGTTAAGGCAAGGGACTTTCTGCTTTTAAAATAAACTTTGAGAATTTAAGAACATTCAGCTCTCCCTATCCTGGACTGAATTGGAGAGAGTGATTTATGCTTCACGTGGGCATAAAAATAAGTAATACTGATTTTTATTGTTGTACTTGAAAATTTTTATTCCCACAACATAAAAATGTAACAATCAAAAATAGTATGTAGAATAAGACTTTTATGGCCATTTAAGTGCGGTTCAGGCATATCTCTCCTAGTCAGGGATTTTGCTCTTTCATTTGAAGATAACATGCTTAGGCCTTTGATTTTTAGCGAGTTTTACCTGGGAAGTGTGTGTGAATAACTATGCATAGATGTCTCTGTAGACAATTGTATGACTGTCAGTCTAGAAGTATGCTGTGAGTGCAGTTTTGTGAAATAAAAAGGATGCTTTGTGTTTTTGACTGTTCACAGATGGAGAAAATGGAGATATTGCAGAATCAGAGTAAGCAAAGGTTTAAGTATGAAGGTTTTACATTAAATTCAGTGATGAATATTCTGATTGGGATCTTACTGGCTTCAGTGTTGAAAATTTTGTGCT